CAAGAAAATGTTCTAGCCAAAGCATCAGGGGAGAGACCAGCCGGCCCCCAGACCATATCGGCTAATCCCTTGCATCTCTGCCACGCACGGAATCGGTTGAAAGTATAATGYTAAAAAGTCTAGTCTATTCGGCGCATTGTTTTCACGGCTATTGTTATGCTGATTTACCTGGAACAGTGGTCCAGTGGATAAATCGTTGTCGTTCAAGACACCGAGTCAAGCTCGCCTGAGGAGGGTTAGCACTTGGATGGGTGACCTAAACATTATACCTACTCACCCTTTTGTTCCTTTTTTCTGTTTTTTTATTTATTTATTTTTAATTTTTAAAACAATAGAATGTAGAATAGTGAAACTTTTCTATTTTTGAGTAACCTGTTCCTGTCTACCCAAATCCGTCAAATTAAAATCTAGCAGAGGAAAATCCTGAATAAAAAAAGAGAAACTGCCAGACGTTTCGCAAAAACGATTTTTCGCGATACGACTTGTCGATTTTTAATGAGTTACACGAGTAAACTTTCTGCGCGACGTTCGTTTGAAAACCAACAGTGTTACACGGGACAATTTTTAGCGTTTTTAAAGCCCAAAAAATCATGAAGCTGAATTAAAAACTTGCAACGCGTTGCCGAATCCGAAAATCATTGTACGTGGCATGTTACACGGCATCAATTTTTCACGCAACGTTGTATCGCTAAAAATCGTCGTTGCGAATCGTCCAGTGCAACCATCATGAGCTTTAGTCTTTTCATATAGGAGAGTCTAAATAACCGGCAGCCCGTCAAGAATTTCAAATACTAAATCGCCATCAGTTAAATTCGGCTCAATCACGATAACAAACACCAAACTTAAAACTCGAACAAACCTTTTTATGCTTTCTATAATCGTTTATAGCGATAGTATTATTAAATTTTAAGTAAAAATTCTGGCAAGTAAAAATTACTTAATAAAACAAGGTGAAGGCGATCTATCACGGGGATTTGAAGGTCGCCAACCTTTTTAATTAAACATGAATTTGTTCACTCAGTAGAAGATTTGAAGCCTATTATTTTCCTAGTTTAAATAAGAGCTATTAATCTTAAACTCTTTCTGCATAGGATACTGCTTTTGAGAAACTAAATTAAAAGTTTGAGTAGACAAATAAAAGAAAGATCTTTTCAAGGCATCTTGAACTTTCTTGGTCAGTTTATACACACGAGTTAGGATCAGGTCAAACTGCACATGAGTCGAACCTAACTGTAACAATGGATAACAAGCCAGTCTTCTTTGATGGCATTAGGTTCGGYTCATGTGAAGTTCGACGTTTGACATGAGCCTAATTCCTAATCCTGCACTAAGCCTTTAGTTTCAGCAACTAACAAAAAAAGAATATGCGTAGACATTAATTTCCGAAACGTGATTCGAAGCCCACCCCCAATCAATCACTTTGATAAATTACACATTTATTGGTAATTTTCACTTGAATATAAATCAGACTTTACACGGGATCTCTGTATCATATGTCCGCAAAGGACTCTTCGGCAGTGGCTGAAAACCCTTGGGTACTATTGTGTAATTTTGGCATTTTCTGACGCAGGAAAATACGAAGAAACGCAACGTATTTTTAGACTGAGCTGCCACAGACAACCCAGTAATAAGGCCAGTGTGATTATCGTACCAAATCCAGTCGAGTCGGATTCTTTCATTCCGGACCAATCTCGTACACAGAGCCCACGTGCCTCTTGGTCAGCACCTCTTGTTTCTCAGTAATGACCAATAGGAACGTGGGCTCTTGGTAGATTGTATTGATTGTAGATTGATACCGGACGCTACTCTGCCAGGAAGGGTGGGGAAGAGGGACCGCTGACAGTCTATTTGTCTATTTCAACGGCGATCACTGAAATAAACATAGATAAACTTGCATGAGAGCAACTGCGATGAATCTTTCAGTTTCCTTCAGTATACGCGTTGCTTGACAGTCGAAAACGAAGTGATTTCTCAGGCCTGTAATTTTGTTTYCTTTTTTGTTTCATTTCCTATTGGATGGTGGCTTTCTCTCACTGAATAACGTCGGATTTACGGTTGGTGTTAATATTCCGGGTTGGAGTCTGTCTTTTCGTTGCTAGCTCCTTTCTTCAARCTTTGATTTGAGTTGAACTATTTCTTGCTGAATTCGATGTAAACATTGTTAAGGAAGATATCAGTTTAAATCGAAGTAGCGATAATTGACAGTCAATTGAACTACTAGAGTCCCGTTTAGTTATCGAATTTAACAACCAGAATATAACTTTTCCAGATAATAATTTTATGAATGCAGATCAAGGAATCAAAAGCTTTACTTGCATGGAACCATACAGCGGTTATTGTATGATTGGGAAACGYAACGGCAAATTCGAAGTCGTACAGTATCTTACCGTAGCAGTAACTACGCGTTGTGGGTGGATAAATTACTGGGTGTGGCTGTACGAAGGGTGGATAACGCTATTCGACGGACGAATCTTATCCAGTGGATAAATTCATTGGATAACAGCATCACTTTATCTACTGAATAAAGATTTATACGTCGGATAGTGATATCCCCCCTTCGCACAACCGGGCCCTGGAAGACAATGGGAAGCTATTTCAATGTTATGGCATATACTGTATGTTAGTTTCTCCGGCACTCGTAAGAAAACGCTACAGTGAACTTACTGATTGAGCAGCTCGTTCAACCAAACCCCTACTAACAAATCTACTAAGCTCAATCACCCTCGCAGATTTGCAGAGACAGATTCTCTTTCTCTACGCCCCATTTATATAAATGGAGGAGGACTCTACTTCTAGCAGGGCTAATTTTTGTTTTTCTTGTCTCCTGCATGAGGACGGAAGATTAAAGACTTGGAATTGTTTCTAGCTTACGGCTCCCTACAATCATATAAACGAGGTATCAAACAGTTAAAGGATATCTGCTTCGTCAAAATCTTCCATATCGACMACTGCCTCCAGTTTTCCCTCAAGCTCATCTAGTTGATTAAGAAGATCTTCCTTGTTTTCTTCTGTCTCTGTGACTTGATTGGATTCCTAAGAATCAGATATCAGTGAGTGACAACGTTGATCAATTTACACTATACACCTGCAGCTGCCAAAAATGTTGTACCCAGAGCCTGCGTTTCTTCTGGCCTGCGGCGAAGAACGAGGGTTCTGGTTTTGGCGCATGCGTGAAATAAAATCAATGAAAATCATGCTATTAAACAGAGTTCTGTTTTACTTCCGATCAAAGTAAAAATTAGAAATCGGGAACATATTTTTTTATTGTTGGCAAGTGTTTGAACGCATGCGCTCTTATACCGGAGGTCCAAAAAATCCTGGTCTCAAAATATGTGGATTATGCGAGAGCCCTCGTTCTTCGCCGCAGGCCAGAAGCAACGCAGGCTCTGGGYATTACAAGTATGGCCCTAACAAGTATCTTAAAAGCTAAAACCAGTTAAGACTARGAATGCAGCTATTTCAAAAAGGTTGGTAAAGGTTTGGTAACATGTCGTATGTTACCTATATAGGAATACCTATGTGAATTCAATCAGCAAAAGGTCACAACACGAATTTTACCAAATTTTGTCTGCACATTTTTTCGGTTTATTTTCTTCTGTGTTGACTTTATTTACATATGAATAAACGACAAGCAACACGAAGCATGTATGCGACAAAACCTTCACCAATCAAGTTTTTTGAAATAGTTATGTACGAACCCCATCCGCTGCTACACCTCGATCACTGCAAGATGTTTTATCCACCTCTTTATCGATCTTCTCTATCTCATCATTATCCAAAGCGTCATCTTGTGGTTGTGGCTCATCTATTAAAGGTTTAGATATGCTGTGCTTGGAGCACAACTCGTTGATTAAGTTCTGGAATACAATTTTTAGCATGTAAAGCCGTGGTTAGTAATTCTCTTCCATGGTCGTGATGTTATACCACTTCAGGACACGAGTCATTCTCTTGAGAATAAGATTATTTGTTTGAAATGTATTCGTATTCTTGTGTCTTCTCATGCACGATAGTTCACCATTTTCCATACATTGGTTCACTGGTCAAACACAAAGCGCTTAAGCGAGGCGCCAAGATACTTTGAGTTGAACAAACACATGACACATTGTTCGAAATGGGCAAAAACTGCGCCCAAAGTGAAGATATTTCTCGCTTACCTCCCACATCTGGTGATAATTTTTTTCTTACTTCCTTACCTGACAAGTCGCTATCTCAGCAGTTAGTAGCGAGTGAAGAAACTCATTGTCGGCGTATCTGGGGAAAAACACCTACTCGTGAGATATACAACCTCTATTTGGTGCCTTGTTAGTATATATTTACACATCTTGATTGAGTTAAGAAGAATACAGACACACAGTCACAGTACGGAATTACGACAACCGTTGAACCAATCATAGCGCACGAGATCACGGTTCATCCAATCAGAATGCTTAACAGTGTATCGTCACGGTCACGGCACAAAATTGACTACTTCGGATCCGTTCAGCCAATCACAGCGCACGGTAATAACGTACGTATTATTTATCTTACAGACACGAAAGCCGGAAATCTACTTGACTTTAAAACTATTTACATCTCAAACGATATCATTTCATTCAGCATTTTACCTGGTTATTTGTTGTTGTAATCCCTTAACCACCTTTGCAGCAGAATTCACTAGCTTCAAATCTGTCAATTGAATTTGAAATAAAACCACCTGGGTTGATTCAAGGCAAAGCTTGACAAGTCAGTTTGGGTAGGAATTTTTGTGTAAGCGGTGGTGAGTGGCTTTGTTGGTGTTGTGTTGTGCTCTGCTGTAATGGTAGGCCAATCCCTGCTCCACCCCAAACCCTGGGTATGGATATCGTATGACTCTAAAACATTCAGTTGAATTGGAATTGTAGGTCTATCCACATAGATGTCTAGGTTCTTTCGGGGTTCGAACTGTGAATCAGCCGTGCCCTGACTTAAATCAGCCCAGAGGGTTGTTTCAGGGTTCTATCTATGAGCTACGATTGTAGCCTTACCATGACTAATTAGATCAGCCCAGAGGTTGTTTCAGGGTTTTTTTCTATGAGCTAGCCTTACCATGACTAATTAGATCAGCCCAGCAGCTGTTTCGGGGTTCGTTCAAATTGAGGTTTTCAGTCTCGTGGCTTTGTATACAAAATGTTTGCACTACATCCCTACCTGATTCGTATTCAATCTCTTCGAGTTCTTCTTTTATTTTTATAAATTCCTTTTCTTTGGTCTGCAATAAGACTGTGTCTTGATTCAGCTCCTCGAGAAGCCGCTCAAGTTTTTCTTGGCTTTGGATCCCCTCAGCTTTTAAACCTTCACTCTCCTCCTTCAGCCTTTTCGCTTCCTTGAAGTTCCTCTCTGAAGAAGTTTTGGGGAACAAAATGACCTTTTATTTATAGAGCGTTCTCACTCACGTGAGAGGGCAGTCATAAACAATAGAAACTTTCTGCACAGTACTTGCATAACGATAGAGTTCAATTCCCGGAGGATAGAAAATGTATTATTTTGGTACCCCATAATGGCCGCTGTAACGTCACGTGAAAACGCTCTTTAGACAATGACCACGGAACTCCCCCTCCCCCAAAAGTGGATGAGGGAATAGGGCTGAGGCTTGAAAATGAGGTAGTTTGAAGTGGGAGCCTAAAGTACTTCAAAGGTAGTAGTCATGTTATACCTTTCTTTGCGATGTCCTTTGCCTYGTTTCTGTCCGAGATCTGATCCTCGATTTCAGTCACTCTCTTTCTAAGACTTGTTACGTTTCTATCTGATAAGGTTATTTTGCTTGTCAAGGATTTAATTTGTTGATTTGTTTGTTTAAATGATGATCGAAGCCTGATAACAAGATAAAGAAACATGGGGACTATTAGCCTTATATTCAACTATAGGCATCCTAGAAAAAAGTTGAAGAAAGAAGAAAAAAGTTAGGGAGGGAAGGAAAAATGAAGGAGTGAAAGAAGAAAAGACAGAAAGAAAAGTGGAAGAAAGGGAGAGAAGAAGGGAGGTGAGAAAAAAGATAGGAAGGGAATAATGGAGAGAGGGAAGGATAAAGGAGAGAGGGAAGGATAAAGGAGAGAGGGAAGGATAAAGGAGAGAGGGAAGGAATGAAATACGAAGGAGTGAAGGAAGAAAAGACAGAAAGAAAAGTGGAAAAAAGGGAGAGAAGAAGGGAGGTGAGTGGGGGAGGGAAAATGGAAGGGAGGAGCAAGAAAAGAATGGAAGAAGGGAGAGAGTAAGGTAAGAAGAAAGGAAGAGTAAGAAGAAGAAGAAGGGAAGGAAGTATCTTATTATAACTCAGGTTGTTTGTCAAACCGCTTACTTATCCAATGTAGTATCTTGAGTGAAAGAAAGATGTTTCAAGCAAAGAAAGTCTTCAATTTCTCCTCGCTGCTTCTCAAGAACATCAATAGATGATATGTTATTGCTGATGGTTGCTTGTAGGCTATTCAGGAATTCTGTTGACCTAACATCGTGCCACAAAAACTAATATTAATACTGTAATACTTATTTCTAGTTTATCATAGGCCGRTGATTTTAAATTTCTAAAGGCAAATTCTACTGACGTCTGTGAATCACAGGATATAGAGGGATGTTTACCAGCTAGGAGGTCTCGATAGGTAAAAATCTGTGCCCACGGCCTTAAGACGGACTATGCTCAAAAGATCAGTTGCCACCAGAGCCTCTCGCTCCTCGGTGCTGACCAAGACTGGGCTCTGGGTACGAGATTTCCTGTGAACATACAGGCTCTCGGAGAAGGATGGGAGGGGGAAGCAGAAAGAGAAGAACCCTTTTTTTCTCCTCCCTCCTCCCGTGAGAGCCTGTTCAGAGGCCAAGACAACCCTTACTGCACGTCGGAATGCAGCTCAATTTGAAGGACATAACAATAGGTTTCCATGCAGTTATCAAGAGATTGAACTCCTTTGACGTCACATGCAAGGGGTCCCATAACAATTTTTATAGACATTGATTACCTTTCTTTTCTATCACTCCACGACTTCACCAACTTATTGAATCTTTTTTGGGCCAAATTCAAGGATTCCTAAAAGTAGACATTAATAGATATAAAAACAAATTTTATTGCAAGCAAAGATGACACATGTGACACCTTTAATATCTGGACCTGGGCCTTGCATTCGTTCTCGATAATTCTTACGGAATCGTCGTCGAGACGTCGGGCTTTGGCGGACGTCAATCAAGGCGTTTCCATGACATTCTATAGAGCGTTTTCACTCACGTGACAAGGCAGCCATATTGGCGTACCAAACAAAAGAAACTTTCCGTACAGTTTTTGCATAAGAATAGAGTTCAATTCCCGGAGGATAGAAAATGTATTGTTTTGGTTCCCCATCATGGCCGCTGTGACATCACGTGAAAACGCTCTATAGAGCTGTTAAGTGTGACGTAATTCGAACAAAAAACGACTTCAGGATTTTCTGTTCATATATCTAATTGTTGAAGGTAGAAAATAAAGGCTGGGAATAAGTTATAGCACGATTTTAGGGATCTTTTGTGTGATTTGACCTGGAAATACGTCACAGTTTAAGCACGTTCCATTGCGTTCTCCGGCACTTCCATTGACGTCTACCAAATTCCTGTTTTTCCGGGATGGCAACGTACGATTGCGCGCGTGCTCATGAAAACGGCTGTAACTAACCTGATCAGTATTTAGTGAACTCTGTTGATCTTCAAGTTCTTTTCTCTGTTTATGCAGTGGTTCCTTTTGTGGTGAAAATTCGTCTATGATTTCCTTGATCTTTAGTTCCTCTGCCTCGATGCTTTTGTTACACTGTGTTTCACTCACACGCAACTGTTCTAACCTCTTTTCGACTTCTGCGATATCAGCCTGTCAACGAAAAAGTAAATTACACAGAGATGTTATTATACACCTTTTGCTGTTCATTAACCGCAAAGGAATATTCATTGCAGCGAAGAAGCATTGTCATTAGAGCGAACAGGCATACAATAAGGCGAACGGACTCTCAAGAGTGCGATGGAACTTTCATTAAGAAACTTAGCATTGAATTTGACAATCATGAGTATGTTTGCGTGGATTCATTAACGTTTTCGAACTTTCATTAGCGTTTTGATAGACCCTTTTATCTTGGGTGTAATGTTTTCCCATTTCATACCACGCGTGATTTTCTTGAGAAGAAGATGCTTTGTTGAGTTGTATCTATTGAAAACTCCAGTATATGCGGTCTTAGCATCACTTCTAAGGTCGGTAATCAGAAACGGAAATTAGAATAACGAAACAAGCAACTCCTGGATTCGAAGCTAAGCCTGAAGCATTGGAGTTTTAAGAGAGGTCAGTGTTCATGTGTTTTCTCATATACAATCGTTGAACAAAGAAAYGATACTCTAGGGAATGACACGTGGTCCCTGAAATGGGAAAACATTATGACCCAAGGTAAAAAAATCTATCGAACCCTAAARAGATTTATTTAAAGCATTTTCCAAGGATCTGCGGCGCAGCTAACGCAATGCCGGGGAGAACCACAAAGATATGAAATAATGAAAACTTTTTTATACCTAAAAACGTTAAATTTCGGTAAAACTTTTCGAAAACGTCGTTTGTACCTTCCTTTGAAACTTCCTGGTAAAATTTCAGCGGGATCTAAGTCGGCTTTGCTTTTTAACGGAATTTTAAAACCTGCTCTTTTCCTAACTTTATATATAGAAGCTCTATCCTAAGTTCATACATTGGCACTTATAAATCATAAATAAGAGACTTCGTTTGGGCTGCCTGTGGTCGAGGTATCTCTAAAGATATAAATGAAGTCATACCTTTATTTTTTCTCTTTCTTCTATAAGTAATTGCTTTTTTTGAACGAACTCTTCTGTTCTTTGTTGTACTTCCTCTTCTAACATCATCTCTTCCTTGTCCAAGTGTTCCGTATCGAGTTGAAGGTGCGCGCGTGCGCGGTCCAGTCGCAGTCTTTCTGAGTTCAAATTTTGTTTTTCTTTAGATATTCTGGTATTGTTTTCTTCATTGAAGGCGTCAAGTGACGAAGCTTGTTCTTCTCTGACTTCCTCTAAACTGACTTGTGCGTCGCGTAAGATCGATAATCTTTTGAGGGATAACTCAGATCTCAGTTGAAGGGCTTTCTGTACCTAAGTAATAAAGAAAAGAGAAAGAAAGAGGATAAAGGAGGAGCGAATGAACAAACAAAGGGATGGAAGAAGGGACGAACGAAGGAAGGAACTAACGAGAAACGAAAAAAAGAACGGAAGGAACGAAGGATGAGATCAACGAACGATTGAACGAACGAACCAAGGAACAAACGAGAAACGAAAGAAGAAACGAATGAGGGAAATAAGGAAGAGAAGAACGAAATAAGGGAGAAAGGAGCAGTAGAAACTGTGGTAATTTGAACATCATTGAAATCTCCATCATCATACCTTGATGTCAACGGCAGGGAGTTTGTATTTTGCTTTTTCGAGACATTCTTTCAGTTCCTCGATTTTGATGCTCAATTCTTCAGCCAGATCATAGTTGTCGTTAGCAAGAGCATTGCTCTCTTCTTGGGTCAAGTGTTCCAGCTCTTTCTCTTTGTCAAGATAGACACTACCTGAGGTAGAGTAATTCTGAAGCAGTTTATTTTCAAGCTCTTGGAGAACTTTTTCTTCGTCCCTGGAAAATGAAACGAGACCGAAAATGAAATAAAATAAATCAGAAATAAAGATTACCTGCCAATTATGGGTGGTGCAATATTGGACGCAATCCTCTACGCTAATGACAACACTGTAGAAGTGCAACAAAGCTCTTTAAAAAACAATACGCAACCTGGTCAAGCCCAATCGATCAGCATTTCTTTTGCACCGTTGGACCTCTCCGTAATTTAACACAGGTGAGCAAAGAGGAAAAGAGTTTTACAGTAAGAAACTGGTTTGTGTTTATTGCAACGACTACAAAAATACACTATTTTGACATTCATTATTTCGTCTCTAGTTTGGAGTTTAAAACGAGTTTTGCATACAGCGTCAATCAGTCATTACCATACACGCCCAAAGTCATGGACCTCTGACTGAAAGACTGGATGTATAGCGACCAGTATTTTTCAACTTTCTTCTGTCAGGTTTCTATAGTTTTTAGCACAGAATAAACCAAGCAATTCCTACCTTAAATTTGAAATTCTAAACTGCATATCCTGCTCAAATAGAGAGCATCTGTCTTCGGCATCAAGCTGTAAATTATATGTTTGATCTTCTTCCTTCTCACTGTCTTCTTTTGAAATTCCTTGTTTATCCTCAAAGGATGTTCCATACTTTTCCTCGTTTAATTCAGCAAGTGTGATATTTTCTTTTGGAACAACACCATCTTTGTCACTAGAATTTTTCTGCGCAATGTCCTCAGATTTCTTAGTTGATTCAAGGACTTTTTGGAAGTCTGGAATAGCTTCCGTTTTGTTACTTGTATTGTCTTCATCTTCCTTCAGTTCTGGCTTCTCCTGGATGTTTTCTGGTGTTTTTGCTCTAAAACCTGGAATCAAAAAAAATAAAAAAATAAAAATTTTTTTTTTTGAATAAAAAAAAAAATATGAAAGAAATGAAAAAAATGAACAGAAAATGAAAAAGAAAAAAGAAAACAAAAAGAAACGAAACGAAAAATCAACCTAATATCTTTCCTGTTTCTAAATATGAAATGTTTATTTTAAGGAATGTGCATTTTCTTGATTGAGGAGAGGACTTAGGGATCCGCAGTAAACGTTTTTAAAATACTTGTACATTTAGCCCTCCCCCTTTCACTCATTAAGAAATTCATGACCCCCTTACTAAGACAACAAGGAAACAGCTTTCGTCAAAATAAAAAGGTTTGACCCTCGACGAAAGTTCAAACTTTTACTGATGACCTTCCTCAAGCCCCAGCCCTTTAATGTACCATGTTCTTGTTGTTCTTGTTCAACTTCAGCCAGATTTTCCTCAGAAGATGCTGGAGTTTCAATTGAATAAAGGTTTAGAATGCCTTGCTTTGAAACTGTTTCATGGTCTGAAGAAATAAAATACAACAAAATTACAAACAAAATTAGTTCAGGGAAGTGTGAGTAAACTCTCACTCCTCCCAGATTAGTTATAGCTTACTTTGCAGAACCTATTGCTTTTTTTTGTTGCTGTGTAGATCTGTGCCGATCTTTTTTTTTTTTTTTTTTGCTACTTAGTTCTGAGTGACAACAAGGACAGGTAAAATAACTGACTGTGGAGCACCCTAAAAGTTTGTGTTGAGGGGAGGGTGAGGAGAGTTCAGTTTAGAAAATATCTCAAGCCCCTCCCTCTTCATTGCCACTACTCTGGTAACTTCTTACACATTTTTGTCATGACCCTGTGTAAAACCCTCCGAAGGTATTAAACAAACATCAATACTGACAATGACTCACCTTCTGCTCCTGGCTTTTCTTCACCTTTGTCTACGATTGGATTGACATCTTTGTCTATTCGTTGTTTAAGTGTCCCATGTTCTGCTTCATCTCTTGGTCGTAAATCAGATTGTAAGTCAGATACTTCATCTGCCTTGTCTATCTTGGACAAATCCTCTGATGTATTGGGTACAGAAATAATTAAAGATAAATAATTTGTAGTGCTATAAATGCTTCAGAATTTCATTATTCTAACTAGTAGACCTCATCACTCTTTTCCAGGTGAGAGAAAGTGTGCAACACATGACATATTTTCAGACCATGTCTCATTCACAAGAAAACAAAATTCTTCATTTGAGTGTCACCTAAATTTTAATATGGATGAGACAAACACTCAAGAAAACATCAAAGTGCTTGTTCACAGACATGAATTACTGGTAAACAAAGAAAGTAGCATTCAAGGAATGATACATGGTGTGAAATGTTAAAACAGTGATTAAATCAGATATTTTTTCCAAGGGCCATTGCAAGGATCTTTCTAGCTCTACATCATATCTTTACTATTTCAGAGTCTATAAGAACATGCGTAATAGGTAAATTACGAGCCTTGTATAAAACGACTGAAGAAGAGGGCCAATGGGCCTTTCACAACTTTAAGTCACGTAAAAAATGAGCCAACTCAACTAGAAACAGTGGACAGCTGCTTCAGCCTGTATTGGACCTCATCAGTATATAGTATCTAGTAAGCTGGTAGAATCCCATTAAAAAGTAGTACATGAGAGATGAGGCGGAAAGCTGTGTGGGATGGGCTCAGAAATCATATAAGAACATGCATAATAGGTAAATTAGGAGCCTTTATTTCAGAGTCTAGTCTACTTACCAAAAGGTATTTCTGGTGTCTTTTGTATGGCAGTTGTATGATCTAATGTAGTTTGTTCCCCTACTGTTCCTTTGGGCTGAGGATGACTTGAAATGAAAAATCAAGCCCCAATTATTTAAATAGCATCAAAATGAGTAAAACAGCAGCCATCAAATGATTGACACAGACAAATCCAATGTTTTCATTGAATTCACTTTGAAGTGAGTTGTAAAGGTAAAACTTTAGACTGATCCTAAAAAAATCATGACAGAATTTGTTATCCAAATTTCTAATTGTTTCAGGTGGAGGGTAAATTGATAACATTTTGCTTTATTTTAGTGGCTTTTGTGAGCAGTTGAGCCAGGAAATATGTTCCAACTTAAAAGCTCTATAATTCATAAATGGCAGTAACTAAAAAAATGCATTCTCTGTTACCTAATGTTTTGACTGTCTCTAGCATAACCAGGTCTTTACCTAATGTTTTGACTGTCTCTAGCATAACCAGGTCTTTTTGCTTGTGTTTTCTTTTTCTTTTTGCCTTGCTGACCAGACAAGTTTGTAGGCGTTGTTTGGGTTTCACGCTGATGTTCTTTTTCTGGTGTGTCTAGTGTGTCTTTGTTCTCTTCTTTATTCTGAGGACTGAGTTTACTTTCTTTGATCTCTTCATCACCTGCAACCAAGTAGAATATCCAAGTAAATGAGAACAGCTTGAAAATGTGAGAAACTTTGAAATCAGTAGATAAAGCTACACTATACCAGGCTTCTGACAGGTTGCACGGCTGTGGATCTACACAAGTTTTATTACAGTACACTTTTTCTTGATTTGGGAAAAAATATGGCCATGGAGCTTTGTTGCCAAGAGTCATGAATGAGTTCATTAATGGAATTCGTAAGTGTTACAAAGCCCCATGAAAAATGGGGGAGGCATTTCATTTAGCTATCCTCAAGATTTTCCTTAGTTACATGATGCCCCCCCCCCCCCTTCAAACTTCCAAATTTTTGATGGCTCTCAGCCAATGAGGAGCGAGATAGTGAGTAAAATGCCAAATAATCAACTTTATTTACTCTTAGGCCCTAGAGCAAAGGAAAATATGTTTCCAAGTTTACCACATGCGAAACAATGCTGCATACAACAAATTTTGCTTCCAAGACGCACGAAAACAATGTTTCCTGATGTTTTCTTCCTTAGAAACAAAAGTCAACACTCTAAAAATTGGTTGCTTAGCAACACTCGCTCTATCTTAAAAGTATGTATGCATTAACCGACGTTGAGTAAGCATGTTTCCTGATATTTCCTATCAGTTTTGTCACCTTTGGAAACATGTTTCTGGAAACGTTTCCTTGTTTAGCCAGGGCCTTATTTTAGATGATGACAAATAACAGCTTGTGGCCCTAATTAACCTAACTTCACCTTTTGTCATTTCCAGTTTTTCAAATATTTCTTTTAACTCTTGTGATTCTTGTATTTCCCGTTCATTGCCTGTAGACTCGTCAAGGACGTCGTCAAGGACATCACCACCAGAGGATGTCTGTGAGCTGAACGTCATGCCACTGAACAATGACAGTTCATCATGGGAATCAGAAGTCATGAAAGCAGGATCTTGTGGTGAGCTCTTGGACTTCTACATTTAAAAATAATCTCAATAAATTGTTTTCACTTTTGAACCTGGAAGGATCGAAACAAGCTTCAAAACATTTTTAAATGTTTATATTATGGAGATTGAATATTATTTTCGAGGTTCTTACCACGCTAGTTTCTTGACATTTCTCACTAGGAGGAGTGCTGGTTCTTGATGTTTCTGGTTGACTGTGTAGAAATCGTTTTAAAAATGACATTTTTTCCGGGTTTTCTTCCTCATTACCTCATCTCATGTTTCTGCCGCCATGTTGTTGTTTTGGGCTAGTACCCATGCTCTGGCTATTTGGTATATCACAGGGAGCCCAAAAACTGTTTGCAATAGAATTTTTTTTCTTTCTTTCATATTAATTTTTTTGTCTTTCTTTTTTCCCCGCAATAACGAAAATATCTTTCCAATAAGACACTTTGAACTTTTTAAGAAATTGCAACGTCTCAGAAACTTACTTTTTTTATGTCTGAAGTGATGACGTGACAAAATTATTTTTTGAGAACCTTAGGATTTCGGTGACATTATCAGAAATTGTGTAAAAATATGAGAAAATATGAGATAGCAAGAAATTTTATAGCGATAGAGCAAAAAACAGTTGAGATATAGGTAATTTTATATCAATGTATTTCTTCATTCATTTTCTTTTATTTGGCTGGTTGGATCCAGTAAAAAAATTTGTAGAAATGTATGAGGATTTTTGGAGCTTCAAATGTCCAATATGTCCATTTACTTAGCAACAACCTTAAAAGCGGCAAAGTTGTGCTATTCCGCAGTATTTTGATGACGTCACAGTTCAGAACTCGTTCTAACCGCAGTATGAATGACAGAGCTCTGAGGTCGAGAGTGATGCTTTTGTTAGCACATCTTTCCGACTTTCGTCATTTCTTTATTAACTCGCCAACGCTACATGTTACTCTTCACGCTTACTTCCTGTGTCGATCCTGCACTGCTGTCATACTGCGCTGCACGTACCACGAGATTCTTCAGTATGGGGTCCCTGTGGTTACGCGTTGAGATGTTCAGATCGATTTAGTATAGTTTTGCCTCGTAAAGAAGTTGGAAAGTTCTACAATTTGTTCAAATTGCGACATTTACCCTCAATACTATTGAGTACGATGAAGTTCTACTATTGGTTCCGTATTCGATCCAAGAGTACTTTTTCGTGGTTCTTCACCGTTGTCCTTCTTCTCGCCATTTGTCGATCAGTCAACGCCAGAGCGGTCGATGAATCACAAAATTTTGTACTTTTGATCTCATATGACGGATTTCGCTACGATTACCTTGAGAAATACAGAGATAGTTTACCCACACTTACAAAGATCGCTCAACAAGGTTCAAGACCCGATTACGTACAAAATGTATTTCCCAGCGAAACATTTCCAAATCATTACTCAATTGTGACAGGACTGTATCCTGAAAGTCATGGAATTATTGCCAACAACGTTTACGATCCTGTCTTTAATGCTAGCTTTACAATGATGACGAATGACTCGAGATGGTGGGACAGTGGAGAACCTATTTGGGTGACTAACGAGAAACAAGGACACAAGAGTGGGAACTGTTTTTGGCCAGGTTATGACGTGAAGATCAAAGGACAGGAAGTGTCACTCCTACCTAACAGCAGCTATGGAAAGCCGTTTGCAGAAAGCACGAAACTCATGCCATGGAAGGATCGCGTGGACTTGGTCGTAAGTTGGTTTAGTGAACCAAATCCCCCATCCTTTGTCGCTCTGTACTTTGAAGAGCCTGATGAAGCTGGTCACGCATATGGCACAGACTCACCACACTTGGCTGTAACTCTAAGCAGACTGGATGACTACACTAACTATCTTATGGAAAGTTTAAAAAGGCTGAGCATTTTTGATAGGATTAACTTTATCTTTACATCAGACCATGGCATGAAAAGTTACAATTCACAGTCCTATATAAATATAGATAATTATGTTGACCCAAAATCCTACATATTTTGGTCTTCTGGTAGTACAAGATTCCTGATTACTAACTCCAGTTCCAGTACTCTGGAAGATCTTTACCAAAACTTCAAATATGCAGAGCTGAAGACTGACGGTTTGATCAGAGTCTATAAGAAAGAAGAAGTACCTGAGAAGTTTCACTACAGCCACAACAGACATATTGCAGATATTGTTGGGATGGTCGCCCCTGGTTACCTCATGATAACATCAAAACCCACAAGATACTGGTCGAAGTTTACCATGATTAATGCCAGTGGAGGGGCTCATGGATACAGCTCATTCGTTCCATCAATGCATCCATATCTAATTGCATATGGACCTGCCTTTAAACAAGGATATAGGCCTGGAGTAATAGACAATGTAGACTTGTATCCATTAATGTGTCATATATTAGGCATCAAACCTGCTCCTAATGATGGTAGCTTAGATCATATCAAACACATCCTGAAACCATCAGGTCATCATTGGATTCAATTTAATTGCTCAAGGGAATTAGTAATACTGATAGCTGAATGTGCTATTTTCATTTTACTTGTCACAAGTGTCATCCTTTTCTTCAAGTACAGTTGCAGTAAGCAGAATAAAGGGGAAAAAGCTTCATTCAGCAATAAATACTGGAATCAGCCCTTGATAACCAGTATTGAAAAGAATATCGTATGAAGTGTATATGCTTAGCAAACCATGGTAAAAGATTTAGGAACATCCTCTTGGTGGCATGCATCCCTTCCCAAAATAATAAAGAGCACTAAAATTCCACCAAAAATGGTGGCTATGATCAATGTCACATTCACCCAAAGAATTAGAGGTGATAAATTGTCAATCAAAAACCTCAGGGAGAATTTACATAGTTCTCAGTCAAGCAATTTCAGTAGCACAAACTAAGAGAATATTCTTGTATAAACATGAAAGTCTAATGTTATTATGGACTTAGACCCAATATTGAAAGCAGGCAATGACCTTTATTTTCATAATATATTTATATGTATTTATTTAAACTTGGAAAAAGTCTAAGTTAAGCTGAAAAACAAATATTTGAATGTGCCTACATGCATTGTATATAAGTATTTAACTGATTTCAGTATTTAGTATTCACTTTGAAACCTACTGCCAGGATCTCACACCCATTTTTATAATTCCTTGACTATAAGTTAAATAAATCAAAGCATCTCAGGTTTGTGCTTTCCATTATTCACCAAATTACTAATACAAAAAAATGGTTAGAGAAGCCTGCAGAAGACTCAGATATCATATTAGTGGTAATTGTGAAAATGGGTGTAAGCTGGTGACTGGAAATAAGATTAATCAACCTTTAGGATTTTGCATCTAAATGGAGGTAAACGCGATAGCAATCTATCAGCTAACTACAACCTGTCATTAAAACAGAAAATGTGTACATTAATACTTCTTATTTATATATTTCATAGAGTGCAAACCATAATTATATAGTAGTACAAAATAGCAACAGTGAATCGAAAACAAAAGAAATAGATTGTTTAGTGATATTTAATTGTTTGTGCTATTTCACACATACATATGTTGCACTCAACCATTGCAATGTAAAAAGCATTTGATGAAATCAAATATTCTATCAATGAATGAATGAAACTCAGATAATGAAAGTAATAATAATGATGTTGAATAGTGCTTTCAAAACATGAACATTAATTTTGTTCTACCACAAATTTACTTGTTTTCTGATTGATCGAGTGCTGTGGTAAATATTAAAGAAGAGATACCAACAATTACGAATTGTTAGAAACCATTTTTCTTTCAAACTTTGTGTTTTTTTTATTTGGGGGGGTGNGGAGGGGCTGTGACAAGCAAATTTCTGAGGTTTTGTGTAGTATGTCCTCATAGTACCACAATATGAATTCAACATGGTTAGTCAAAGTTACATGTAAAAGTATTTATACCTATCATCATCATATACCATAGGAGAATTATATGGGAAAACAAAGGCGTGTGTGAAAAAAAATGTTCTAGTGTATTTTTTATCAATATTTTTACTCTTGCATTATGGAGAACATTTTCTTGCCTTGAATTTGAAAAATTATTATTTATTTGATTGTTCCAATTTTATTTTCACCGTTCACTTTTATTTGAATTGGACTCCCTGAGGTTAGCCTTTTAAGGATTCGATTTCAGTTTCGCGCCAATCAGGTTTCGCGCGTCGTTTCTCCAAGGATCTACTCAGTATGTGGGCGCGCGTGTTGCGCGCGTGAGAATAATGCCGACAGAGAGCCTGCGTTTCTCTTGGTCAGCACGTTCCTCGGTGCTGATCGCAGGAATAACGCTCTTTTAACCATGTCCATAAAAGACAGTATCCTAGTTTTCGTTTCATATCTGATATTCAGCATCCTAGAGACACAAGGATCGCAAAATTTTGTACTTTTGATCTCATATGACGGATTTCGCTACGATTACCTTGAGAAATACAGAGATAGTTTGCCTACACTTACAAAGATCGCTCAAGCAGGTTCAAAACCCGATTACGTACAAAATGTATTTCCTGGCGAAACACTTCCAAATCATTACTCGATTGTGACAGGACTGTATCCTGAAAGTCATGGAATTATTGCCAACAACATTTACGATCCTGTCTTTAATGCTAGCTTTACAATGATGACGAATGACTCGAGATGGTGGGACAGTGGGGAACCTATTTGGGTGACTAACGAGAAACAAGGACACAAGAGTGGGAACTGTTTCTGGCCAGGTTATGACGTGAAGATCAAAGGACAGGAAGTGTCACTCCTACCTAACAGCAGCTATGGAAAGCCGTTTGCAGAAAACGAAAATCTCATGCCATGGAAGGATCGCGTGGACTTGGTTGTTGGTTGGTTTAACAAATCAGACCCACCTTCATTTGTGAGTCTCTATTTTGAAGAGCCTGATGAAGTGGGTCACGTACATGGCACAAACTCACCACAGTTGGCGAAATGTCTAAGCAGATTGGATGATGTTACAATCTACCTTATGCAAAGTTTGAAAAAGTTGGATGTGTTTGATAGGATTAACTTTATCTTTACATCAGATCATGGTATGATTGATTACAACACCAGCAATTACATAAACATTGATAAGTATGTTGACCCAGAATCCTACATCTTTTGGACATGTGGCTCGACAAAATTTCTGATCACAAATTCTAGTTCTACTACTCTGGAAAGTCTCTACAAAGATTTTAAAACTGCAGAAAAAGAAACTAAAGGTTTAATCAAAGTTTATAAAAAACAAAAAATTCCTGAGAAGTTTCACTACAGCCACAACCGACGCATTGCAGATATCGTTGTGATGGTCACCCCCCAGTATATATTGAATGCGTCAAAATGTGGACACTCAACGAAGTTCCCAAACGTAACCTATGGGGCTCATGGGTACAGCCCATTTTTTCCATCAATGCATCCATATCTAATTGCATATGGACCTGCCTTTAAACAAGGATACAGGCCTGGAGTAATAGACATTTTAGACTTGTATCCATTGATGTGTCATATATTAGATATTAAACCTGCTGCTAACAATGGTAGCTTAGATCGGATTAGACATGTTCTACGTTCAGGCTGGATTCAAACTCATTCAAAGGAGTTAATCGCCTTAGGAATTGGGAGTGTCATTCTAATATTAGCTTGTATCCTAGCAACAGTTATTGTATGGAAAAGGGTCAAGAGAAAGCTTGCTGGACGTCCTGTTAGATTTAACAGGAATATGGCTGAATGGGATCAACCACTAATGGACAGTGATGAAGAGGATGGGGAAATTATTGTCATGTGAATGTGTTCATTGTTTGGACCACTGGAAGAGGATGGTATAGAAATGTGGTAGTGAAATATATATGGTGTAGTTCCCGAGAATATCCATACCCCCACCACGGTGGGAATTTGTAAAAGGACCCCATTATCCCAGGAACTTCCACTTTTCTTCCATACAAACTGTGTAAATTTGTTCTTTCTCTGACCTCCCTCCCCTCCAGAACTTCCGATTTCCTCCAAGGGTGGGGTATGGATATTTTCTGGAATTACACATTTTCACTTTTGTATTGGGAAATAATAAATTTGGCACATTTGATCAAGTTCACATGTGAATTTGTGTCATATGAATCATAAATTATTATCATTATAATTCTATAAGATATTGTGAGGGGGAGGGGGTAGGGGATTGCTGAAGCACCGTCACTTTTTCTGAAGAGAAATATTTTTTATAGAACGATAATACTAATTATTAGTACAGGAAATTGCACGATCTTATTTAAATTAATTATTTAACTTAATTGGGACTCTACAGTGTACAATTTGGGATTTAATTTTACTCCTCTTGTCCAATCAGAATTGAGTAATTTTGTTGAGTGTAATATAAACACCTAAACATGGTTGACAATGCAAATTTGTAAGTTTGTGATGTGAGGCTAAATTAGTACAAGGGTTTGCCTGAGATTGGATTTGAACCCCAAATACACACACACTATCAAAATCACTTTTCTATTCCTACTTCAGAGACACAAATATGCATGCACATGCTTATCTTGAAACTATTGCACCATAAGTTTCTAGATTGGGTTATTTTATCTTTGTAAAATTTAAAAAAATGAGTGTAGTCAGTTCATTAACAACACCACTTTTTACCTTTAGAATCTCTTTTTTTTCCCTCGTAAAAAATATTTATTACACAAGTAAATAAATGAGGGCCTTTTTTTTACTCTTTGTTTCCCAAAGTTGGGAAACGAAGAGAAAAAAATTGTAAAAGTTTCAACTCTTCTCTCTTGACTCTTCTCAAAAGTATTGCAGATGCAAGGCTAAACTGAACATTCAAAAGAAATCAGACTTTTTCTTGATAGACTTTGTGGTATTTCTTTTATTATTATTTTGAGAAGGGTCCATTTCACAAGCAAAATAAATGATCTCTATCTGATGATGATCAGTGGATTCTGATTCAAATGTTAAAATAATAAACACTTGTACGAATATATTTTATAATATTTTGCGCTACCAACGTTACAACTTAATTTTGTTCATTGTAAAATAAATCTTTCAAGTCACCTGAAGCTGAATACTTTTTAATTGGAAATCATGACCCAGTAGTACACCATAAGAGGAACTAAAATCCAGAAGAGCAGACTAGTTTTAGTTTTAGCACCAGCAGACTGGGGAGGTGAGACATTGTCCACCACTGATGGTATGGTTTGGTTCAAGTTTGATATTTCATCAATATTTGCTGTGGAAATATAGAATTTTGAAATACATGATTAACAAAAACCAAGGAAAAGTACTATTCAACTTGTCCAGTAATTATGATGGTTAGCAGTGGCCCTTCTTCCCTGGCACCTTTGTTTTAATTGATAATCTAGCTTGCATTTTACCGTCTTTCGGAGATTCAACAATTTTACATCTTTCAATACTGAATACTGGTTCTGAATACTACATTGTGAAATGCGGATAGACTGTTTTCACTGGTACGCGCTGATCAAGAAAAATTCTCGACGGGTTAACCGCTTTTTTTTTTACTGAAAACGTTTAGAATTTTAAAGATCATTTAACTCGTTTTCCCAACTCAAGGTGTACATTTTTTAGAATTGGAATTTAACTTATTCAGGCTAGCCAATAATGATACTCAAAAATCTGTGCCTGTACAGGGGCGTAGCAAGGTCTCGATTAAACGGGGCAATATACCATTTTCTCGCCAATCCACAGGAATCCTGCATGAATTAATTTGCACCCCCTGTGCCCCCTCCCTACGCTAATGCCTGTGTATATCATACAAGGTCTTACATAAACGGACGCTGAGTCTCCATGTTTTCTTGGTCACAGCTGGGCCTGTAGCAAGTTCAAAAGTAAAATCGCCCGAGTCAGAAACGCGCAGTTTTCTGACTTTAAGGACACTTATCCAGTTGAGATCTTCGTCTAATGTAGTAAAGAGTACAAAACGTTCGCCGTATGAGGGGACGAGTGTTGTTGAACCTTTCTTCCATTTCATTTGTTGGATCTGAAAGATAACAGTTAATGGCATAAATAAGTTACTCTTTTATGTAAATTGAAGAAAGTCAGCTCTGGAATTGATGGATTGCAAGCGTTCCCAAGGGAGTGAAAAGACAAAAGCATGGCGGCCATTGTGGTGCCGTTCACAATGGATGCTAATGAGAAATCTTTTGTTAAATGGCACCAACATAGCCGCGATGACGTAACGTGCAATCGAAGAATAATATCTTCAAGCTAGGGCCTTAATGTAATAATCACGTGACACATTCATTGAGGTCAACGTGTTTCATGACGGGAAATGTCGAGGTGAGAAAACGTCATTCCTGAGTTGAACTGCATGGATCCTCTAGAGAGGCCAAATGACTATGAGTAGAGCTGGAGTTACAGCCTCGTCACGCCATACCGTGACAGTAACGTTGTCCAATTATTTTGAGTGATTTGTAAAAAGCGATGAGGGAAGGGGTTGAAAAACAGTGATGGTATACCTTTGGTTTGGGGTTACCTCCCTTCACGGTGGCATTGAACACCACTTCCTTGTCAGTGTCCCGAGCGATGACGTAGTCTTCTTGGGGTTTGAAATAAACCCTTGGAATTACTGGAAAATCAAAAGGAATGGAATAACTTCATGAAAAATACTCTCTGGACAGGGACGATAGCAACACAATGCTTTTAACAAACTCTACTTATCGACTGAGCCAGAAATCAACCCTGGACCACAGCTGAGAGACGACAATTTACGCACTACACACCATCCATGCCATAGAATGTTTCATCATCTGCATTTAAGATACAGCCAATCGCATAGAATGTTTCACCATCTGCATTTAAAATACAGCAAATCACAATGCAGGAAAGCCGTTGTATCATAATTAGGCCGTATTTCATCGTTTCTTTCCATCAGGCATTGCGATTGTTTTGAATTTCTTGACTAAATGCTTAGGTATTTTCAACGATGTGTGTCAAAATAGTTATAAGATGCTTTCTGAGCACATCGTATAGATTCCTCTCATCATTCTTACCCAGAACCAGGACATTAACTGTTCTTTCGAATGAACACGCCTTTCCTTTCACTACCACCCTGTACTGCCCAGGAGTCTTTTCGTCTATTTTGATGAGCTTCAGTTTCTTGCGCACTCCAGCGGTGGATTCTGTAAGAAATATTTGAAAAGTCAGTTACGAAATACTGTTATAAAAAAAACACTGATAGTAGCTTATAGGGAGGACTAGAGCAGAAGGTTAAAAGTTTAGAACGCAAGCAAGTGTCTACACTTAAATATTACAGGAAAAGGTCCTGGTACAGGTTACATTTTTCCCCTGCAACTTGCCATTGCAAAACTTTTACAGGGCCGCAAACGACGTGTACAGAGTTTACCATTTTTATTTAAAAATATTTTCCTCTGCGTTTTTTTCAACACTCAAAAATCGATTTATCAAGGGAGATTACATCTGCGAAAAGTTGCTGCAATCATTGTACAAAGTAAAAATGTTCTCGCAATAACTTGAAGGTCTCTTGAAGTTCTCTTGGTTTTCTCACAAATCCACGCATTTAAGGAATATAAGACGCGCGTGCATAAACACTTATAAAGACTTTGGAAGCGGTAGGACTCGAGAAAAGCAAGCTTAGGAACACGAGGCGTAGCCGAGTTTCCCCCTTGCTTTTCGAGAGTCTGTAGCTTGTGTTTATATTACCATACACTAGAGAGACACAAGTAGCCGTTTTGTAAAATAAATAAAATATATGAAATATTTTGGAACGATTTTGCGCGAGCGTGTCTCTGATATAAACACGGTAACCAGCCAATCAGCATGCGCGTTATATTTCAAATACTTTTGATAAAACTCAATGTAGCATGCAGACCGTCGCTTTCTATTTCTTCGTTCCACTTACAATGCTGTCTATTATCTTAATAACTTTTTTTTACTTCTTAAAAGCCTTACTCACCAGGAAAGCCGTAGCGATCAGTTGCAGCCTCGATTGGTTTGCCATCACGATACCACGTGACAGAATCTAACTGCTTGTCAGTCCTGAGCCTCACTTCCAGGATCTGATTCACACCATCAACAGCCTCGAATGGCGACGAAGTGATCCAGGAAATAGATGGTATTTCTAATCAACAAATATCATGTTAATGTTTTAAGTTAAAACGTTACAAAGTGGCAAGACCCAGGGAATAGTGCTGAATAACTCAATAGTACAACTTCGGGTTCGGTGTGGTATGTTAGTAGAGTTGCTTGTTAGTTCTCTTCCGTGCTTCGAAGGTTTTTCTCCAGTTTCTCCAGTTTTTCCTCCTTCCACAAAAATCAATTTCTAAATTCTAATTCGATTTATTGGTTGCCTCGTTATTAGGTCCTAGACCTATAAGGCTTTCCGTCCACCTAAGGGTGGTATAAAGTTGGACAATTTTTTAAAAATTTAGAGTACGTTGTCGTATTATGTGCCATAAGATGAATAATTTTTAAAATGTTGATTTTGCTTTGTATATAGAAACAAAATCAATTATAGCAAGTTTTATTATCTTCGTTTATTTAAACTTCCAGTATGCGTTAAATACTTTACGAGAATAATGCGGAGTTTTTATAGTCCTAGGCAATATCCTTGGCTTGTCACTAACAAATGTCTACTCAAAGGTGTAGAATGCCTTTACTATTTCGCAGTTTTGCAATATCACCCATTTTTGGCATTGTCTCATCAAGTTTTGTCCATCATCTATACCTACACTATCCATATCATGTACAAGTTGTTTCTTATAACCTGCTAGAAGATCTAGAACAATATTCACGTGATGTACGAAACTTTCTCCTAAAACATCAACTCTCTGACCCATCCATGGATCGCTCTCCTTTCCTTTCTCCCTCTCTCTCATCCTTTGCTCCCAATACAGTCCTTTCACTGCTCATAAGTCCATTACTATTGATATATATTGATTGTTATACGTACCATTACCTCCAACAACTGAGATTCTTGATAGCGCCGAAGTAAATCCGTAACGGTTGTTGACGAACACTTCAAAGTATTCTTCGATTATCGGGGGGTAAGGTTCAGTCCATAAAAATGTTTCATTCCAGATACCTTTTGTCTGTTGAAAAACACAATGAATGACAACATCAAATAAACCAATCATAGCGCGAGAGATATAATAATCCAATCAGCATGCTAAGACACTAGTACGAACCCGTCACGGTCACTGTACGGTCCATACCGTACGCTTATCAAGGTCATATGTATCTGTTTAAATAACCAGAGACCGCGAAGGGTAAGGGCTGGGGAAATGCTGGTGCTATAGACTCCCTCCCCCCCCCCCCCCCCCCCCCCCCCCCCCCCCCCCCC